CGAAGATATGTCATAATCAGCTGATCAAATGTAGGTGAAAAGATGGCGGGTGTGCAGCTGAATGCTATCAGATAACTGTCAAAAGAAACAGCTCTAACTTGCTGTTCATTGCGTCAATAATATTTCGCTGCAGATGTGTAAATAGATTTGAATTGCCGTACACGATGGCATTTCTCGAGGTTGGTCTTACATTTTACTAAAGCATTTTATGTATCGTGCTTTCTGTGTCTTGTACATAACCTCACTTTTCTTAAACGTACACGCTTATTTTTTAGTGGAGGCGCTTCAATTTTTTCGATCTTAAGAAAGAAGTCGACGGTGGAAAAATAGCCACGGCACTTGGTGTGAGTTACGCCGGATTCAAATCCGATATTTTCTTACACAATATTTGAGTGTAGGTTAAAGATGTTGTGTTTGATTGATATTGATGTATATCATATTCTCTGTTGATTAGGATGCTCAAGTGACAGCAGCTACAAGCGGTAACGGGACTCTAGTATTTGGCGATTACACCGGCAATGTGCATTTAGTGAATAGGACTTACGACGTTACTACATTTCGCGCTTATGATTTCACATTAACGTTAGCTCAGCAAGTCCAACATTCCACTTTTCTGTTCACTATTGGTGTTAGTATATTCTTGTACACCTCTTGTACACATTTTATGCAGAAATATTTGTTATTGATGAAAACTGTGTTTATTTAGGAGGATGAACCAGGTTGTAACCCTACTATAAAGGTCTGGAATTTAGTTAAACCGGACAAACAAGGCAATCCAACATGTCTTCGTATAAGTAGAGCTATACCAAGTTACAGACCAGTTCCTGCAACTGCTCTCTGTGTGCATACTAGTCTTACATTAATGGCTGTCGGTTTTGGAGATGGCTCTATTATGCTCTACAGGTATAAGTAACTTTGATACAATTATCTAATAATTTCCAAATATGTTTTAATACACATTTTTCAATTCTTAGGGGTGATTTAACTAGAGAAAGAAAAAACAAGATAAAAGTATTGAAAGATACCAATGTTTCTATTACTGGTTTAGCAATAAGGTCCACTGGCAAACAAAATCATTTATTTGTTGCTACACCAAATAGCGTTTTCTTATATAATGTTACTATTAAGGATAAAGAATTTAAATCTCCCTTAGATACTATGGGTTGTGCCAGAAAATGTAGTGTTCTTGCAGAATCCATGCAAGATAGTCATTTCATGATTGGCCGTAATGATGTAATAACATTAATAGAATTTCATTATACAATATACCTAATATCATTTTACTAATAATGATAAATTTTTATTATGATAGGCAATTTATTGTTACACACCAGATGGTAGAGGTCCCTGTTATGCAGTAGAGGGTCAAAAAATTATGTTAGAGTGGTTCAGAAGTTATTTAGTTATTATAGCAAAAGAAGCTGCAAATGTTCCAAGAACATCAACTACCATTTCTGCAAAACCGAGGTAATAATATTTTATATATTCATAGTCTATATTATATAATCTATATTATAATATAATATATATTATATGTGTTTATAGTACTATAGAACCAATACCTCCAGGAGTAGATAAACACGTAATCACAGTACTTGATATACAAAACAAATTCATTGTTTTTTCTGCTCCAATGTTGTCTGTGCAAGCTGTTTTGTCAGAATGGGGTGGATTTTTTATACTCAGCGGGGATAGTAAACTTTATCACTTAGATGAAAAAGATTTGCAATCGAAATTAGCATTACTTTTTAAGAAGAATTTATATGATATATCTATAAGGTAAATTTAAGTAAAATTATTGGACATTTTTTAATTAAAGTTATTGAAAACATTTCAATTATAATTTAATGTTACATTATTTTTAGAATAGCTAAAAATCAACAATACGATGCCGAAGGTCTAGTCGATATATTTCGACAGTATGGCGATCATTTATATTCAAAAGGAGATCATAATGGAGCAATAGAACAATACATTAAAACTATTGGAAAGTTAGAACCATCATATGTAATTAGAAAATTTTTAGATTCCCAACATATAGATAATTTAACTACTTATTTGCAAGCTTTACATAAAAATGGGCAAGCAACAGAAGATCATACAACTTTACTATTGAATTGTTACACGAAGCTCAATCATACAGATAAATTAAAAGAATTCATTATGGTAAACCATCATTAATTTAGATACGACATTAATTGGTAATTTATATAATTGTGTGACATTATGATTTCAGACAAAAGATAGAGAAGTTGATTTTGATGTTGAAATTGCAATAAAAGTTTGCCGTCAAGCATCGCCAGAGGATGCCTTGCTACTTGCGCAAAAACATGGTCGTCACGAATGGTATCTTCGTATTCAAATAGAAGATAAGCATGAGTACAAAAAGGCATTGGAATATATGGCTACGTTAGACTTTGAAGAAGTACGTTTATATAATATTCAGAGTTAATTTACTTGATTAATTTTGAACAATTTTTTAGGCAGAATCCAACATGAAAAAATATGGTAATATCCTGATAGAAAATGTTCCAGATGAATCAACGCAATTTTTAAAAGCCTTATGTACCAATTATAGGCCTTCTAATCAACCTCTCGTAGATCAGGTAAAGTCGAATGATCAAAAAATAACAGACTCGTATCAATATCACTTATAATAACATATTTGATTCAGGAAACGTTAGATGGTATTGTGGACCAACATATCGATAAAGCTAATCCAGAAGATTTTATTCACTTGTTTTTAAATAATTCGGAACGTCTTGTAGAATTCTTAGAGCATCTAGTAAAAACACATACCAAGTTAGTATATCACTATAGATAAAAACAAAATTTCAATTTGTATTCTACAAGTTAAATGTTTTAATATTTAGGTGGAGTACTCTGGTATACAACACATTAGTAGAACACTATCTTCATGTTTGGTCAGCTTTAGATAACGATGTGGCAAAAGTACAATATGAACAGAAAATTGTACGACTTCTGCAAAATTCGGAAGTGTGTTACGATAAAGACCAAATATTAATCTTATGTCATCAGCATAGTTTCAGGCGTGGTTTGCTTTTTCTTTACGAAGAAAGTAAATTGTAGGTTGAAAATAATTACACAGTCCATATTGTATTTAAAAATTTTATTTAATGATTTATATTATGTTATATATAGATACCAGGAAATATTACGATTCCATTTGCGTGAAGGAGATAGTGAACAAATTTTAGCTACGTGCAAGCGATTTGGACATCAAGATCCAAATTTGTGGGTCCAAGCTTTGTGGAGTGTCGCAAGAAATAAGGAAGCACCAACTAAACTTCTTGCAGACATACTAGCCTACATAGGTATGTTTAAAATTTAATTTAATCATTTAGTTATAATATTTTTAAAGACAAATTTACATACAGCTCAAGAAAGGCTTTTATCGCCATTAATGGTTATTGATGCACTTTCTACTTCGCTTTCCTGTACCTTGGGTGATGTAAGAACTTACTTCAACAGCGTGTTACGAACAGAGCATAAACAAACACAAGCAGATATAGAATTAACTGAAAAGTATCGAGCAGATACTAAAAAAATACGAGAACAAATAGAATCAATTAAGAATAGTACTATAATCTTCCAAGGATCGCGTTGCAGCGCGTGTCATCATCAGTTAGAACTTCCATCAGTACATTTCATGTGTCAGCATTCGTATCATCAACAGTGAGTTTAAATTTTATATCATATGAAATATAATAATATTTTCTGTAATATTTTAACATATCATGATTTTACTCTTAGTTGCTTTCAAAGCTTCTCGGAGAACGAAAATGAATGTCCAGCTTGTTTACCAAATAACAAAAAATTGTTGGATATTATAAAAGCACAGGAACAATCAAGAGATCTTCACGAAACATTTCATAGTTTGTTAGATCGAGCAGAAGATCCATTTTCATTAGTAGCTGATTACTTTGGCCGTGGAGTTTTTAAAAAATTAATGGTGATCACAGACAGCGATAAAATGTTATCCACAGTAAAGTTTGAAGAACCAAAACTGAATTATGGATTAGGGGCGGAAGCTAGGATCAGATTAACGGAAGGGAAAAATACAACATTAGGTAAATAAAATTTTCGGACAACTTTTGCACGGCAAATACTTGGCAGATGTTTGGACTCCACATTCGCCGGCCAAAGATTAAAACAATTAATTTATTACTTTTCAAAACATAATTATATTTATTATACCTAGCATAAATCAAACATTTTATTATAGGAAAAACTGAAACTCGTCGTTCTCATGATAATTACAATGCCGCGGCGGATGACCAATTGCGTTCTTATCCAAAATTAGATGTGTACTCTTCATCGTTAGAAGCAAATATCTCTGGCATGGTCAGTGACATATCCAGTTCACGAGGAAATTCTAAGAAAACTGTGCCAGTACCTATAAAAGAAGCTCGTATTTTAAACAGTATAACACCAAAATCATCACCAGTCCAAAAATCTTATGTGCCACCAAAAACACCAATTGTACCGTCGAATCCATTCGGAACAGACGATTATGATGAATCAAAAAATCCATTTTCCGAAGACAACGACGATGATACTACTAACCCCTTTAAAGATAACGATGACACAAATCCCTTCAAGGATAACGATGATGATTGTAATAAGAATCTAAATCCTTTTGATAGATAAATTACATTTATTATATTCAATTATTTTAATTACTAAATTCACGAGTCACTAAAAAAAACAATTATACTCGTACGTTATTAAAAATCAAGAATATTACTCGTGAAAAAATTTTTCGTACATGTTATTACCGTATATGAAATTGTAAATTCAGTTCAGCTTTCATTTCAGTATAACTACTTACAATTATTCAGTCCAAATGTATCATATATTTTTTTTCCTTTTTTATATATGCATCGTATAATAATATCTTTGGTGCTTCTTGCAATTTATAAAATAAAAAAAATACATTCACGTAAAAAAATGACACACACGCGCACACACACACACACATTAAACAATTAATTGTACATATTCATTTATATCATGTTTAAATCTATATATATATATATTCTACAAAATGTCTGTAAGGGAGTTTTATTTAATGAGTATTATAAAAAATACTTTACATTTTACAAAAAAAAATATATATATATCTACCAAAGTAAGTGTTTTCCAAATAGCAATTAATAAATAAGTTACATATAATACAAAAATGCTACTTCAATATTATTCGTGATTTAAAATATGCTTCCATTCATTTATTTGATCACTTATTCTAAAGGCATTCCAATTATCCATAGTTTCTGCAGTTCGTGGTTTTATAGAAACAGGAATACAATATTCTTCAGTAGATTCGGGTGCAAAAAAGTCAGAAAGTATTGGTACAACATCTTTTTGTCTTGGTTCTGGATCTTTGCTACGAGTTAATCTGCTTGGCAATTGATTTTCATCTATGGATAAGTCTACCAAATCTCTATAAATTACCTCATCAAGAGGAAAATCCAAAACAGTAGAAATCTAAAACAAGAAACGTAAAATATTCTGTGATCTGGTAATAGTAAACTATTATTCTCTTTATTACCTTGCTATTTATAAGATTCTTATATGAAGTAGGTAAATGTTCTATATCAGTTACAACTTTTTGTTTTTTCATTTCTTTTAATTTATTAATTGTACATATAATAGAATTATATTCCGGTTTTGCTAATTTTTCTCCAGAAGTAATTGGTTTTGTATGAATCTTCTCATCTGTTTTTAAAATTTTTAAATTATCTGGCTGACTGCGTAATACACCTGGTCCAACATTAGGCTGTATTTTAGAACCAATTATATTCCTTATCATAACTTTTTTAACAATGGGAGTTTTGATTTTGGATGCAACTTTATTGTACTTATAACATGGCATAACATCAGCAGGTTTTAAATTCAAATTTTTTTTAGTTGTAATTGAGCTAGATTTCTTATTTGTAGCATTATATTTTTTTGTATCACTATTAGCAGAAGCCAGTCGAACTTTATGTTTTAAAATGTCCAGATCTGTGGATGTTTTAGTTACAGTTTTAATGCCTTTCTTATTAATTGTTGATTTATTTTCTTTTTCTTTTCTACTTTTTGTATATTCTTTCATCAAATCAGTTTTATCAGAAGTATTTGTTTTAATATTCTGAATATTGCTAGCATCATTCAAAGGAATTTGATTTCCTGTTTTAATAATATTTTCATTCAAAGATGAGGTCTCAATCGAAGCCGAAGAAAGTGCATTAGCACATAATGTCAAGTTTGCATTCGATTCGTTATCAATAACTTTTGAATTGTTTTCCTCATTGTTAGATACCTTATCCGGATCCACTAATTTAACAAATTTATTTAATTTTACTACACTTAGAATTTTTGGTTTGTTCGATTGCTTAACACCATTCTGATCAGTCGAGCTTTCCAATTCTTTTGTTATCAATTTGCCAGCATCTGTTTGACAAAATCTTACTTTTGGTCGGGTAAGATATTTTGCATTCTCGGACATCGTACAAAAATATAAAATTCTAAACTATTTCGTTTATGAGAACGTTGACAAAAAAAATTGATAAGAAGGCACATATATGAATGTTGAAAACATAACCTTCGTGGCACTGAGATTTTGAATGTTGTTTTGACAGTTATTAGAAATAACTGTCAGAATCTCTTGCGGCGCTACCAATTTCATAATAAAACTGTAGAATTCGCCATACGGGACTCCCCGATTGTAAGCTTTCTTTCGCGATGCTCAATTTTACGAAAATAGGTTAGTCAATGAAAGAACAATCGTGCTTACCGCGTGCATTGTTACGATTGTAATTTGTTTCAACAATTAGTTTATTGTGATTGCAGTTGTTTAGCAACGATCAATAGTATTTATGACGGAAAATGTATCTCGTGAAAACATGGATCCTTACAAGGTAATTTTTCCACGATTATATTTAATATCGCGTAATGTTGTTTCTCGTCGTGGAAGGTTAAAACAATCTAATCTTATTATAAAACGTTTAAATACACAATTTTTTCACTTATTTAACAGAATCCCGACTGCCTACCGTTGGAAAATTTAAAACTGGAAATCAAAACCGATGGTATTGTAAAAAATGTTGATGCTTTGGTATGTACATAAAAGCAATATATTTCTGGATATTGAGTAAATTTGATTAATACTTACTGTTATGATATAATAACTTACTATTATTATAATTCGAGATTCTTATGTCTCCAAATAATTATTTCTATAACTTGTTAATACATTTTTATGTATCTATATTAAAATCTACGAAATTATGAGTTAAATAAGCGTGAAATAAATTGTGATAATCATTTTAGAATGAAATCTGGGCAAGTGACTATTATTTTTTGCACTATGAAACTCCTAATATATATAATGATGATGGACTTGAAATCCCGGGAGCTAAACAACAATGGATAGAAATTGTCAATTATATGATTAATGATTTAAAATGGTTACTTGGTCTTCCATTTTATAGGTAAAATTAATAATATTAATATAAAACAATAGCATTAAAAATATCGATTGATTATTATAATTGGAAGTTCATTTATTTATGTTAATATATATACTTTATTTAGGTTTTGGTCAAACATTGTATTTAATACCTCAATACTAGATACACTGGTATCTTTTCTACAAGATGCACCACCATTCTATGCTTTGGAAAATTTTCCAAATTCTCCAGAAATGTTAGAACTTCTAGAAACATTAAGTCGCTATGTACTTGTAGTTTTCACACGAGTTGTCACAAATAAGGAAAGCCCTAAAGAATATATGAACCGTCCATTTCTTGGAAATTTATTATATGAGAAGTATATATTTACAGTACCCATCATTTTTGATCTCTGTCAACTCTATGGTCGAGAAAATGCAAAAATAATGGGAAGAATTTTAAATTCTTTATTTACATTAGAACCACAGTACAATAATGATCTTCAGAAAACTGTTCCCTGTCTTATAGAGGTGAAGTATTAAAGACAATATATGTAAAATAATTAATATTTTATCAAGATAGAATTAAATATAGGTGTTGTCAGTTTAGGCCCTTGAAAATGTTGAAAGAAAATTTGATGGTTGTTCTACTTATACCAATGAAGCAGTTTCACTGTCAAAGCAGAATATTAATTCTTCAAAACTTACATTATTTCAGTTGGAAGATATGATATTATATGTTCTAGATATATCATCAACCATTAGTGTGTTCTTAAAGAATTATCCCCCAGCAGTGAATATATTTCACACAGAGGATTTTATGAATAAGTAAGTTAAATTAAATAAATTAATGTTTTTATTCGTCCTAAACGTTCCTAATAATTTATTTTATCGTTTAACATTTATTAGACTTGTTTCAGTATATGAAAGCACAATACCTGAAATGTATAAAATATTAAAAAACCTGGCATGTAATGATGAAAATATGCCAAAATATGTGGAACTGAAGCATCGTTTGGACGTAACGAGAATTGAAATTTTAAATCTTTTTCGTATTATTATATATGAACCAATATCAAATATTCAAGAAAATTTGTAAGTATATAAATATTCAAATTACAAAGCATATCTTTTATATCTTGTATATTCAATGTATACATAATGTAATGTAATTATGACATTATGCCTAGAAATACGATAAAGGAAGCAGAGGTAAAAGAACGGGTGGACGAATATTTTAATTTATTAAGCAATGCAATTTCTGAAAAAGAATTCATTACAGATTATGATCAATTTTATCCCGTTAAATCAGACTTGACTGTATTATCCAATATTTGTCCTGATGAGTATCCTTTCTTTAAGCGCGATTATAATCGTAATAATAATTAAAGAAATATATATAACTCTTTTTGTACTTAACAAATATACTTAGTGATATAATAAAATATGATTATATTTTACAATCAGTCAATGCAATTATTGGAAAACCCAATATTCTATCTGCTAGCGTTTCTAACGTAAGTCTAAGAATCAACTTGTAAACTGTATTTTGATGAACTTATTGCATAATATTTTTTGTAGGAAGCTATAGCTGGACCTAGTGGTATTTCAAGTCGGACAACTGTATCTGAAAATGTAAATTCTGTGAATGAGAAACAAACTATGTCAAAGAACTCTGTTCAATTTGCTTCTCTTGTTTCTAATGTTAAAGATATTTTACATCAACTAGACGAAGGTTTTATTAAGGTAATTTCAATATGAAAAAATTATGTAAATATATGTAATAAAACTTATTTTGTAGGCAAGTTTAGAGTATTATAATTATGATAGTGCAGCTGTAATAAATGCTGTGTTACAAGAGTCACTACCACCAGAATTAAAAGAGTTATTGGAAAAAGGGTCGCCATTAATACCTAATACTCCACCAACTTATACAGTAAGAGCATTTTATTACTTGACTTATGATATGTCAATTAATGCATTAAATAATTTTATTCTTCTTCTAGGAAACTACAATTAAGGATGTAGCTAATGGTATTGAAAGACTAAACATTGTTGTTAATTATGACAATGATAATGTTCATGTTAAAAAACCTGAAATTATAGATATACCTAAAGAATACATAACTAAAAAGTAAGGAGAATAATTATTCTGAATTACATACTTAATACGTATAAAATAATTATTCTGAATTACATACTTAATACGTATAAAAATATTTATTTGTAAATAACAAAAATATAAACAAAATTTGTTACAGTTATAGCCTTGTCGAAGATGTTTACGATGACGAGTATGACGATACTTATGATAATAATGATATACGTGGTACACAGGACGATTCAACTGAAGTAGATTTAAAACCTTTTACCATACCAAGAGTTTGTATTCATACAATTTAATTACAGACTAACAATAATAGTATAGTTGTATAAAAATTAACGAGTAATTATTTTAGATTCTTCGCGAAAAGCAGAAAATTGAAATTGTAAGTGAATCGGAATCAGAAGACGAAGATATAGGAAATGACCAAAATGGAAAAGACTGTTTTGTACAAAATCCAGAAGAGATACGTGCTAAAACGGAACAGCGACGACAAATGCGAAGTGGAAAAACTGCAGGAAACGTAGTTGGTATGTTATTTTTACAAAAATATGTTCGATAAAATCTAATACATAGTTACGCTATTCCGCTAAGTTTATTTTCTTATGTGTAGGCAATCCTAAAGGTCAGGGGCAAGAGAAAAATGTTTTATACAACAGGCAGCAAAAAAATGTCAAGAAAGCGAAACAGGCTAATCACAATCGCCGTTCTGGTGCTCAGTGGAAACGAAATCAAGGAATGGTTCCATTATAAATCTACCTATACTTTTACAATATAAATGTAAATACTGCCATGTGATAAATACATTCGTACCTATGTTAATTTTACAGATTTTGATTTTTTCAGTGTTTAAATTATCATAACTTTGTTAACACATTTATTTGACAAATTTTTATGATTCTTAATGATCTTTAACTATTGTAAGAGCTTTTATTCTATTCATTTGATTAGCCACTGCTTCTTGATATTCATCTTCAGGTATCATGGTACTCGGCGATGATCTTGAAGCGTTTGGTATTGGCATTAAGTGCGTAAATAAGTGCGTTGTACTTCCATAGTAATCTAATTGTATCATGATCAAAGCGTGTATGCTAGGTTTAATATATTCCAACCTCTTATCTAAAAACATGGGTAATTCTATAAGTAATTGAGCATGTACAGTTTTCAAGTCCTTAGCAGCTGTCTCTTCTGCCCTGCGTTCTCTTTCTAATTTCGCGATGTGACTAGCAGTTCTATCTTTTTTTTCTTGCAATTTTTTAACACGATTATAAGAGTATTTCCAAATCGTTACTAGCTCCTCGCGTTTAGCAATTGCTGCGGCTATCAGTACGAATTCATCGCGTAATTTTTTTAATGGTTCTATAAAAGTTTTTTGGCAGAGAGCTGCCATTTCTTGCACTGTTTTTCCAATCTGTAAAATATGAAAAATTTCTATGATATTTCTTATTATATATTTTTATGATATTCTTATTATATAGAACAATATGTAAACTTACTTGTGTCGTCACTGAATGATAATTTTCTACCACTTTCCTGAATTCATCATTAAGATGTGCTAAGCCACAAGTTGTTAGATTCAATGTTAATCTTTGGTCTACACGATCTAGATTTGTTACAGCTTCTATGTACTTTTTCATTTCTTTTGTTAATTTTCTTATTGTATCTTCAACACTTGAGAAAAGCAATTATCAAAATTTTCAGTTACATAAAGTTTAAGTAAAATAACGGCAAATATAGTAATAAACATACTAAATTAGTCTTTGAACAGCGATATCTAACTCTCTGTCTTCTGAATGGGTTAATAAAGGTGATGCTGATGTAGGCCTCTGTGTTAAATGATTTTTCTTTAAAGGATTCCTGTATATATTATAATACATACGTATTGTAATAATTGTGATTTATAAATGTTATAACCTATAACCACACGATTATTAGTAATGTCATTTACTCACCACGTCATTTTGTTATCATAATTCAATAAGCTTTCATAATATCATGCTCCATCGAATAAAACTGTTAACAAATACATTATTATAATCACTATTTAAGAAAACATTGAATACGGTGACGTATACCACATTTTAGAGTCCTATCATTACTAATCTTGCATCCGATAGATAAGATTTAAGATAAAATAATTTATATGTTTTCATATTTCACTATTTTATTAATTTCTCCAATAAATTGAAAAGAAATACTGAAGAAATTATGTAACAGAAAAGTTGTTTCTCTGTCAATTTGAATTTAACATGAATATTTTCTAACCTCAATTATCAATGTCAACTCATTTAAATGTCAATACAAACGCACAATGTGCAAAATATAAATATAGTCAGTATTATTTATTAATTTTTTCCAAGGTATCTTATAATTACAAAAACACGTACAATATTTTTATTAAATTCTTTTTATTAATATGAAACTCCAAAGGATTTTGATATTTCTTAAATTATTTTTCTTATAGCTATATTATAAATGTACAAAATTAAAAGCAGAATTTAATGATCTATTATGATTAATTCATCTATACCCCAATCCTCATAACTATTGTCAGGTAAATAACGTCTAATTATGATTGGAATTTTTCTTTGCTTTAGTTCTTTCATTGCAATTTGCAATGGATCAGTTTCTCCTTCTAATTCAACCATCACAGGAGCACACATTGCTATTTGTAATGCTCTTGTCCCTAATACTCTTGCTCTTTCATATCTACAAGCAAAAATATTACATTAAAAATATTTTTATTCCTTTTAAGAATAAAGATTTTTATTCAGATTTATATACCCACTTTGTCATATATCTTGTTGTAATTCTTTTAGACCTCTGCACTCCACCAGTAGCTTCACCAGCAGTTAATAATTCTATATTTTCTCCATCTTCTTCTTGAGGTTCTAGTTCAATATTATCATCATCGTCTACATCATCAAAATCGTCTGCTACCCTTCAAATGATAATATTCAATCATCTTAATATTAAAAATTTTACTTATATTACAATTCAAATTGTGTTATAAAAAAGTCAAATTTATATTAAATCATTATAAGTAATTTATTAACTATCTTATAGGTTATGTTTAATTTTATGTGTATCAATTGTTAGTGTCGTTAAAATCATTACACTGTAACCTAATTAACATCTAACGTCAGAACACATAAATCAATAATAAAACAAATAAATAAAAGTAAATAAAAGTGTATATGTAAAATATTAGTTTAATAAATATTACATACTCGTCTCCATCAAAATCATCGTCTGCCATTTTCTCTTAATTGAATAAATATTGCAGCTGATACAAAATGTGATTTAACTCCTGTCTCTGCAGTGCATAAATTAACAATCAATGCTTAGAACACAAAGAAATGCACAACAAAGAAACTGAAGGTATCACTACATACACGTAAAAATTCCTAGAATAAAATAGAGTAAAATATTTGAAAAAGGATAAGTTGTATTTTATACTTAGAATTATCCTTTAGTCTGAATATTAATATTTCAGCAATTTTAGGCAGTTATATTTTAGACCTATTAAGTCTAGACTTATATTAAGATACTCTTTATTCAATATATCATCATCCTGCAAAATTGTAGAAATTATATTATATTTTTCATGCTATTATATATTATTTTTGAAAATATTATTTTATTAAATAAAATAATATTTCAACTGATAATGATATATTACGTAAACTGATATATACAATTATTTACTTTCTTTGTTTTTCTTTTATAAATAAAAATTTAATTGTTTTATTGATGCTATTAGCGGTAAAATGGTGGAACCATTGACTAAAGATAGAATAGACAGTACATGAAATGGGACTTTGTGTCTGAATCTGAAATACCGACCACAAAAATATCACTAGTTTTTTAGCGAACTCACAGACAGCATCTTATGGAATTTCGTGGTTCGAAACCTGAAATACCGACATAGTAAAAAAATCATTGGTTTTTTAGCGAACTGTACGTTCAAACAATGTTAGTTGAGGAACTAGTGATTTTTGAGACCTATTACAGTGTTGTCAAACTTTCAATAATGTAAAGCTTTTCTGTGATTATACCAAGTAAAGTGATACAAGCAAAATTTTCAATTGTATATTCAGATTCCAAAACACGCGATTAATATTTAAAGTTATTCCATCATGTATGTGTGTGTCAGAAAGAGTCCTATTCGTGTTATGTTACAAACTTATCGATTAGTTTTTCGTTTGAAATGATAAAATTATATAATACGGGATGTTTTAATTATGAAATATACTTAGGGAAATATATCTCGAACGAAAATTATATTTAATCAAAAAGAGACGACATAGAAAAGATCTACCATTTTATCAAATCATGTTTTAAAATATCTATCAAAATCTAAAGTTCACGGTCTTCCACAATATTTACAAATGAACTATACGTTATCATTAAAAAATTCAATCTATAACTTTAGAAATCAACGATCTCTCTAATAACTGAACAAATCCTTTAATTACATAAAAACTAAATCGTGTTCGGCACAAGTGCCAAATCGAGGTTCGAGCATTTAGAGACAAGTGTCTAACGCTACCATCAACGACACAGTGGGGTTCCGCGGAACCGCTGAGTCGGATTACCAAGGACGCTAGACTACGAGATCCTCACCTCGCCCTTTCGGACGTGGCTGCAGTTCCCCGATTCGGCACACTGGCTACTAAACTTGGAGACCCGACTCTAGTGCCAATGAACAAAGTAACAATAGTAAAAACGAACGAAAGAAGAGAGGAGATGAGGGATTCCTAATTTCGTCTCAAGTTCAACAAACGTGTCTTTGTACAAAATGCGTTCACAATGAATTTACAAAGATTAACTAAACGCACGCAACTTAAGGTTAAAACGCACGCAACTTAAAGTTAAATCTGATGCATACCACGATGTCGTAAGTGCTCCGCTGGGCTGATGTGCACACGACGGAAGTTCACTTGGTATTGAATGTCCGTAGTACTGAAGGTTAAATAATATTTCGGTCTTCAGTGATCAGGTACAGTTGACAACTTTTTTTTCAAACTTATAAAATTTTATTTTTGTGTATACGTCGAAAGTTTAATTGATAATGATCTCTAAGCCGTTGGAGGTTAATCTTATGTTGATAACTTTTTTTTCAAACTTCTGAAATACGGCGAATATTTAATTGATAATGAATCTCTGTATCTCTCAAGGTTAATCTAATGTTTCGGTCGTCGGTGATCCGGAACAGTTGATAATTTTTTTTAGTATTTCGTAAAACAGTTTTTCTATTATAGTAATAATTTAATAGTGTTTACATTTCTATCGCAAAGTTACACTTTCATGAATATGTTGCAATGTTAAATAATAGTAATATTTTATTAATTTTTTTATCGACTAAAACTGAGTTTACATTTTTGTGATATTAATTTTTAAATTATATCTGCATTGATGTGTATTAAATAGAAATTTACGTAAAGAAAAATTATGTAATCAAAAATTATATTAAGGTGATTGTCTCTTTAAAATAATCGCGCTTCATATGAAAATTATTGCTCGTTTATTGTTTCAGAGATCAAGAAATATGTATATTATGTAACTGTCTTTTTGTTATTGTAAGTAAAATAATTTAATTATTGTAAATGAATTATTCAAACTATGAAATAATGTTTGAGAATTCAATCACTGATTCAGTTGTTAGAAATAGTTAAAATTGGTAAATGATACACAAAAATATAATCGAAAGTCATTATTTTACAGTTTGAACAATTCATTTGAAACAATTAAATTATTTTATTT